TTTTTTGTTCTAACCCGAGCCTCAATGTTCAACTAAATAGCCACATGATCTGATTTTACTTGATCAAATTTTGGACATGTGCCTCTTTCAACCAAGAAACCCAACTCTCGCAAGCAACAAAGCGGTCTAGCCTCACACGCACCAAAGATTCCGGAGTAGTACCTCTTTCCCATGTCACCCAAGACCCATCATGGCTTAAGTCTTTGAGGTTACAAGCATCTAGCACCATTCGGAAGGCATCCATGGCTCTTTGCTCCCTAATCGCACCACCAGACTTCTAATTCCCGCTAACAATCTCATTAAAATCACCATCAAAAGCCATAAGATAAGGAGAATCCACAAAGAATTCACGGATGAGCCACTAAGTGTTCTCCTTGAGAGTTTTATCAGCCCACCCATAGATACCCACGAACCTCCACTTCCTACCTCCATCTTCAGTCACATCGCCTAAATGTGGTGATCCGAAAAGGACACCATAGAAAACTTAACACTTCCCTCCAATAAACACATATACCACAAGATTTTTCCCCTACTATCTACTCCCACAGCCATAGCAAAACCAAATTTCCGTTTCAAATTCTCCGATCTTCTACTATCAATCATCGTTTCGGAAAGAAAAACAACATTAGGGCTCAAAGTGTGACTCCAATAACGGAGTGCACGCACTTTTCGGGGGTTGCCAGCTCCCTGGCAGTTCCAACACAAGAGCTTCATTTCTGTTCGAGGGGTTGGTATTTCCCAACACCTTCTACTTGATTTACTTCGTCTCCGGCACTTATTTCACGATCAATTTTTTGTTTTTTCTGCAATATCTCCTCAAGCACACCATCATCTATAGCCAAAGTGTCAAAGGACCTTCTCTGAGAGATCCTTATAGGTAAAGAAACCTCACTGGAGTTATTTGAAAAACCACCAAAACACTCCTCTCCCTTCGTCCTTACTCTTTTTATGCCCTTCATAACTTTATTTAATTCTGGTATGAGGTCATGTTCCATATCAGCCACCTCACTACCAGAATTATGAAACTCTTGACCCTCTTTATGGAACGGCTCCATCCTCGTGGATTGAGAGCCATTCTCCCTTCTCAATCTCTCTTCTCCGTCACTCCCTGCTGCACTCTTGGTACGAAGGACTTCTCTGGAATTAGCCTCATCCATGACTCTTACTAAAACAACCTCCTTAGCCTGAGGTGTTTTATCCAGAGCTTCAGGTGAAAGAGTAGTAAAGCACAATTTGCGAGCTGCTCTAGGAGGCCCTATTTTAATAGAGTTAGAGTCATAATAGCTTGACATTCTAGTTCTTCGAGAAGACAACAGACCTTCCTTTACCTTCTTCTCCTTCTCAATGTCTGCTATTGATTGACGTGAGACTCACCTAGAGGAAGCCCTAAGCCAAGGACAATAGAGGAATAATACATCCTTGATGCCTTCTCTAACCTCATATTTATACTTGCAGCCATTTTCAGTATGATCCAGACGACCACAAAAGAAGCAAAAGTCCGCGAGACGTTCATATTTCATGGTAACCCACTTTGAAGAAGAACTTCCAGTAGCAAAAAACATACCTCTTCTAAGGGTTTTCTCTATGTCAATAGCAACTTTGATGTGCATGAACTCCCCCCAACCCAAAGGATCCAACTCAATAAAACCACCAAGATAATCTCCAATCTCCTTTATAACTCTCGTGTTCTGTTTGTTAAAAGGAACATCGAGCAATCTAACCCACATAGGTGATTGTTTAAATTCAATCTCCGAAGGTTGTTCATCACCAGCAATTTCCTTCAGCACTAGCAATTTTTCATCAAAAACCATGGGCAACCCTCACGAACTTTCTCCTTATCCTCCTCGCAAAGGAATTGAAAAGAAAATAGGTTTGTATCCACGGTTTTAATTACTACTTTGTCATGTAATCTCCACACATTCATCAACGTACATTTTATCGCCTCAATGTTAAAGGTTTTCGTAGTTCACAATTTCCCAATCAAAGACAAGGAAATCTGATTATGGCTCCCTTCCTCCTCCCCATCTTCAAGCCCTCCACCAATAACCTTCACTTCCTCCTCGGTTAAACAAAACTTCTCAAAATCATTAAGTAAACCCTCCACCATGTGTAGACAAAGATCACGATAAGGAAAAATTAACAGAAAATTGGGAAACAAAGGGATTAATTGGATGAGAAAAAGCGTCAGAAAGCAGTACAAACCCTAGACTAGAGACGTACAAACCCTAGACCAGGGACTCAACTTTTTCATTTGCTCATTATTTGATAATAAACTTGAATTTTCTTAACCATTATTATCCATAGAAATATTAGAATCACGAGCGTCATTTTTGAAAGAGGAAGAAGCAACAATAGCATCATAATGGTTACAACTTCCGAAGCATATCATACAAATTGTCATACATAATATCCACCTTGACATAGTCATTAGGATATAGGTTTTTTAAAAGAATATTTCAAAAAGCTTATACCGAAGATCTAAAGCAACCAAAACTAACATCATGATATTAGTCTTACCAAGATCTCCATAATACTCATCAAACGTTTCCCTCATTTACTTATGCAGAGTTTTCTCATGCTATCAAAGAGTTTAACACACCCAAAATCTCATGAAAATGCATGTTTGAAGTGACATACAAACTTCCCGGCATCTTCTTTGTTTGTAGACTCATAAAAGTGCTTCAAACTTAAAGCCAACACTTTAGCATTTACTCAATCTTCTTTTGTGGGAACTCCATCCTTAAGTTCCTTACTAAAATCGGGATCATTGTAATCCCTGGCAATTTTGTAAAATTTATAATTATATTTTATTGTAATTAACAGAATATTTTTATAAATACGTATTTGTATAAATTATTTAATATAATTTAAGTAATGATTTATGTATATTTTATGGGAATTACTCAAATGAGAAATTTATTTCATTTTACTATTCTATTTACACTAACTATTCTTATTCCTAAAACCCACTAATTTAAGCTCAAGTAAGAATCCTAGTCCTACTAGGATTAGGAAAAACCATTATCAACATTAAAGCGAAACCAATTCCTTAACTCCCCCACTAAAACCCACAAACTTTTCCCCTAAATACTACTCCTATTACTTCCTACAGATTCACGCACAAAAGAAAGAAAAAAAAATTCTCCTTGCTTTTCCCTGTTCACTTACACTCAAAGGGAAAAAAAAAGAACGCTGCCCTCCTTACTGCTTTGTCGCTGCTCCACCCTTGCCGTCGCCTGACCACCGTCGCCCAGCCACCGAACCACCGGTCCATTCCTCTCTCTCTCTTTCCTTCTTTCTTTCTCTCTCTTATAAGCTCTTGTTTTAATTCAAAAGCTTAAATCTTTATATGATTTATTTCATGATTTTTGGTTACAATAGTTTGATTTTGAGTTTGGATTGTAACAGATTGAAAATTTATAAGTTTTATGATCTTTAAAGTATTGAATTAATTTTCAGATTTATTTAATCAAGAATTTTGGGTTTGAGACATTGATTTTTCATGGTTTAGGGCTTATACGTGATTAATTGATTTAACTAGTTACTTTGTGTTTCAATATTATTTAATCTTTAGTTTTGATGATTAAAATAAATTTTCAGATTCTAAGAGTGTTGAGTTTTGGGTTTAAAAACTATTCTAAATTATATTTTTAGAGTTCTTTATTTACACTACTTAAACCACTCACAACAGTGGGCAAAAAAACAATCTGCTCACTCTCTCTAGTCTCTACCCACTTTCTCTCTCAACAAATATCATTTTGCCCATGAACAAAGTTTTTTCACAATAACTATCACACCAATGAGCAAAAAAATGCTTGCCCACCAATTTCTCTCTTACTTTTTCAATACCCCACTATTATTTTCTCTCTCCTACACACCAATAAATAATGTATTATTTTATTTTTAATTTTAACCATACTCCTCCAAATAAAAAAAAAGTAAACTAAATATTATGAATATTTTTTTAATTTAAGCCGTACATACGAAATTTAAAATATTTACAAAAATTGTTATTTTAAAAAAAAAAACGGAAATATTATAAAATTAAAATCTCATAATTAAATTATAATATTTAAAAAAACAATACATTATAATAATTCGATTACATTGCAAATATCATACATTGTTAAACTACCGTAAGCGAGAAATTTAAATAAAAAACGAAAAATTGGAAAATACGACAAAGTACTCAAAATTAATAAAAGACCGAAAAATAGAAATTCTACTGGAATAATTTAGTACATCTTAATTGTTTAGTGATTAGTAGGGCCATATTTAAGCCAAATATGTTCGACTAAATCCTTTTTCATAGAAACATGAGTTTCTCTATCACGTAGGGAAGTCTTGCGTTGTAGAAACGAGTCGAAATCGAAGTTTGGAGGTCGGCAAACGTTGAATTCAAACGGCTCGTTTTTGGTTATTTTTGTAGACGTAGTTGCTATTGTTAACTGTGGGCGATCTCCTTCGTAGTAGCTTCTTAGAACTTCGGCTCGAGTGTAGTTGTGGCGCTCATCTTCGACAATCATGTTCTGCATAATGATACATGCTTTCATTATGTCACCTAATATGTCTTCATCATACGCAAGTGACGGTTTTCGTAGTATTGAAAACCGAGCTTGTAAAACACCGAAAGCTCTTTCAACGTCCTCCCGAGCAGCAGCTTGGTGGTCAGCAAACAATTTGTCCTTCTGAATTTGAGGATGCGTAATACCCTAAATGAAAGTAGCCCATTTTGGGTAAATGTCGTCGGCTAAGTAATAAGTCATGTTGTACTCATGGCCATTAATCGTAAAATTTATTGGCGGAGCTCGAAAGTGCAGAACATCATCAAATACTGGTGAACGGTACAGCACATTCAGATCATTACAAGATCTAGGGATACCAAAGAAAGCATGCCAAATCCATAGATCTTGGCCCGCAACGGCTTCAAGTATTAGGGTTGCCTTCTTATTCCAGCTAGCGTACTGCGCTTTCCAAGCCGTAGGACAGTTCTTCCATTCCTAATGCATGCAATCAATGCTACCTATCATGCCTGGAAAACCACGCATTTCATTTTGATGCAAGATGCGTGACAGATCATCAGTTGTGAGATTTCTTAGGTACTCAGCTCCAAACTGATCAATGACCCCTGCACAAAAATGTTTAAGGGCAACACGAGCGGTTGATTGACTTATGCGAACATATTCATCCACGGCGTCTGCAGCCAAGCCATAAGCTAACATTCTTATAGCGGCTGTGCATTTTTGCATAGGTGATAACCCCAAATTTCCAGCCGCATTCCTACGTTGCTGGAAGTAAACATCACCTTCAACGACCTTGTTCATTATACGGCAGAACAAAGGTCGCTGCATTCGGAATCTTCGTCTGAATTGGTTGATGCTGTACATAGGAATTTCAGAAAAATAATCATTATACAACCTCTCATGCCCCATTTCATTATCTCTCCTATTCGTATCCCATCTTGGAGTTTCACGGTCAGGTACATTTTCTATTATACGTTGGGATTGTGTTTGGGGAATTATCATTGTTGGGTAGTGGATTGTGAATAGTTCATCAACAAGTTGATCATATTCTTCATTATTTCAAGAAGATGAGCTAGAGCTTGATGATGGTTTAGAATACATTATTTGGGTATGTAAAAATTTTTGAGGGGTGTTGTTGTGGATAGGTGGTATGTTCACTATATGTAGCAAAAATATCAAATGAATATGTGGTTACAAATTTGAGTTGAATACCAATTAACAGAATCAAATTTCAGCCATAAAATTGGTATACTATACAAATTGACAAGCACATTCAATGACAAGCTGCAGGACTGGTGTGACTACTCAATGGTTCTTATCCAATTATGTCAATAACAGTTACTACTCAATGCAACTAGTCCAATTATGCCGAAAAAACTGACTACTCACTGTTAATTGTCAAATAGAAAATGTTGTAATAATATAAACACGAATTCACTGATAAAAAAACTTAGATAATAAAAAACTTCACTAATACAAATAACATGATAACATCATACTTATTACTTAGATAATAAAAACTTAGATAATAAAAAAATAGTTACAACACTTAGATAACAAAAAACTAAAGCAACAACATCATACTTAAGTAACAAAACACAACACCTATCTCAATCGCTCATGCCGTTCAATTTTTGGAGTAAATAATTCTTGTACGCCTCTTTTTGAGGAGTAAGTGGCGTAGGCAAATTCTTCAGAGTTTGCAGCATATCAAACATGGTTTTCATCTTATGAATGTGAAGTTCCTCCCATTTCCTCTGCTGTTTTTCCTTTTCCATTTGCATCCTCTCTTGTTTCAGATGACCTCCCTTTCTCGAACTGTAGTGAATTCCTTCATTCTCTCTCCAATGTCAGACGAAACACTTTCTGACGCCACTGCTTTTCCTTTACGCTTAGCCTTTGATTTCTTCACACCATCAGGGCGTCGTATACCTCCAGATGAAAAACCATCCGTAGGGGTTTCATCCCCTATTTCATCTCTCAACCTCTTCCCGCTACAAGCACTACCTTGCTCCTCTTCAACACAAACAACCTTTCTTTCCTCTTTGGACAAGGACCATCTAAGCTTTTGCCTCCACTTTGGATCTTTATTTAGCGTTTGAACTGCGTGATGAAAGCTAAAATTGTGACCGGTGGCAAGATGGAACAACTTTGATGCACTTTTTAAAAGGTCAGCTCCGTTGTAACCACTCCCTCTGGAAGTCTACCTACTTCATCATGCAAGAAATCCATTGTAGTGCGTCTGCTGCCAACCTTCTCCAATGTGACGATAAACTCTTCATTTCTCTTGGCGAGAGTGTATGCGGCTTTTCCGCCTGAGCTATTTGATATGCTGCGTGTACATTGCGCCATAGGTTAGATGCTTTTTTGTTCGTACCTACAATAGCATCTTCGCTTATTTGTAGGTACAACCCAATTAGAACTTCATCTTCCGCAACAGACCAAACACGAGATGGTCGTGCAGCAACCTGGTTGGATTATATTGTGGGAACTTTTGGAGGATATTAAGGCGTCTCTGGTACGTTTTCCTCTTAACTATTAACGAATTGGGAGTTGCTCCCGTGATAAGTTGGAGGTGTACGTTCTTCGTCATCATTGTTTTCGTTGGAGAATTCAATGGGTGTTTGATGTTGTGAAGGAGGATGCAAAGATGTATTTCCTAATCTCTGCAAGAACATTTGAAATTGGGGATTGGTTAGGAAATCATCACTTAAGTCAGAAAAATGTTGACGGATATTTGGGTTGTTCGGATCCATTTGAAAATTATCTGCATTACATCAACATATTTTAAAATAATTAAGCATATGTAAGTATGCTCAAAATAATAATATTTAAAAAAGAAATTAATTTCTACAACATATATTTAAAAAAAATTAATTAACTATCATTATGGTGATAGAAAAAATTCAGGTACATTTGGAAAATAACAATAACAACAACAAAGTTTAACAACACAAATTTAAAATTTTTTTGTTCCAAAATATATTATTAAGCAAAACAAAAAAAATTATAACACAACAAATTATTAGCTATAATATTTAATAACTGAAAAATATATTGAAAAAAACAATTACTTACCTGAATTTAGGCTTTTAACAACAATTATATTAATTTAGGAAGAATTGGAAAATTACAAATTATAGAGGATTTTTGTATTTCGAAAATTATACCAAAAAATATGAAAATGGATGTCTATTTGCAGAGAAAAATATTTAATGACTGTTGGTAATTTTTTATTATCATTTTAAATAAAATAGTCGTTGCAAAACGGACAGAAAAATCTAATTGGTGGATTAATCTGACTGGGACGCGTGGCGGCATGGGATTGGTCCCCCTGACGCGCCCAGTCAGCGTCTTATTCCTTTTTCTTCTGATTTTTGCTAGCCACGTGGCGGCTTTTGCTTGGTGATTTTTTTTTTTCTGATTTTGCTGGGACAAGTGTCAGCCCACTATTGGTCCCCTTTTTTTTCTGATTTTGCTTGGACATGTGGCGGCTTTTTCTTGGTTCTTCTGGATGGGTCCCACGTGCACTATTCATCATCAAATTTGCCCAACTCTTGAGCAAATTGAGAGTTGCTCACGGGCAATTATTTTTTTGCTAACTGCTTTCAACACGATTTTATGTATTTTGCTCAACATTTAGCCCATGGACAAAAATTTTGCTCACTGCCGTAAGTGCTCTTAAGCTATTGTAATTAACTTATGTTAATGGGCTATTAAAATGGTTTCAGATTTAATATAATCTGAATTTATTGTTATAGTATCAAAATTAAGAATTTTTATGTTCCCTGCATATTTTATAGGACTACTATTTTGACATTACAAGTATAGATTGTTGGATTTCCTAAAGATACTAACAAACTAAATTTTCAGATTTTGTTAGTAGCTTAAGTATTCTGTAATTTCATGTATAAAGGTGTATTTTAAGGAATTATGAAGGAAATTTAAAGAACTATATATAAGCTTTTGATTTTAATTAAAGTGAAGGTTTAAAAGTGTTGTTTAATTGGATTTTTAAAGGTTTTAAAGTAAGTAAGTATTGCTGTAAATTTGATTGCTTGGGTGTTGATTGAGATTTTGTTGTTTGGTTTAGGAGAGGACTTTATAGAAGGTGATTTCTAGTTGGTAAAGTGGCCTACCAATTTGTTTACTCAAGGTACGTACAAGGATACGAAAACCTTGACTTTAAGAGCATGTTTAAGGATGTGAAAAACTTATAACCATGATTAGGAAACTTATATATGGTTGATTGAAATTGTTTGGTAATAAATCTCTTTGGTATTTATGCTTGTATGTGCATGATTTATAACTTTATGTATGTTAAGTTATCTTGTAAGTAATTTTATATGCATTAACTTGCAAGATGAACTTGGAGGCAAAAATACATGAGCATGTGGATTGAATTATTATTATTACTTGTTCATGATTATTGTAATGGAATGTGTAAAGGAAAAATTGAATTCTTAAGACGAGGTTGCGAATTTGAGAGGTGTTTGTACACCGAGGTAGTTTAAGGAATTCAATACTAAATGTTGGTTGTCATTACTAATTCAAGAATTAAATTGGAAATTTGAATTAGCTTGAATGATTAATGCTTGATTGGTTGTATTGTTTCTGTATTTGAGTCATCACCAAGTTTAAACATGTAAATCACGTAAAGTGAAAGATGGATGAGCAATAAAACTCTTGATTTGTGCACATTTGGAGTATTGACAAATAGGGGTTGGGGTTCACGGGGTATTAGCCGTGTACTTTTTATAGGTCGTCTGATCTACGAGTCTCTTGTTTTCAAATAATTTTTAAAACTATAAGGAGTTAAATGAGATCTCATACTAGCTATGGTCACGGAGTCGCGTCCGTCTACCATTGGATGTTTATTGATGTTTCCGAAAAGAGGCATGGGGTTTTTCTTTCATTGATGTTCCAAATTGGAGCATGGGGAGACAACCTTGTCTATTGCTTAATCCAATGAATAAAATAAAATGAAATAATTAGTACCAAATAGAGGAGTCTTAATAATGTTAATAGTTGAGTCATGTGTTTGAGTCAATAATTAAATTATTGTGTGTTGATTGATAATTAGTAACATGCTATGAATTCTTTGTTATACTTTGTAGCTTGTATGTACTAAGCGTTGCTGATTGTGTGCTTTTGTGTGTCTTTTTCTTGGTCATGGCCTTCACCTTTCAATGACTCTGTAATGATCCAATCTTTACACTTGTAATATTGGGGAGCAAACATATCACAGGTGTTTACATAGTTTGGACATGCATCAAGGTGGTGGGATTTTGAGTGGAAAGTTGGTTATTGTTCGTAGTTTATTTCTTTTCATAAGTTTGAATTTATTTAAACTCTGGTTTGGTTTATTTACTACTTTGTTAATTGAGTTTTGAATAAGGGCCTTAATGGTTCCAACTTGTAAGACTTAATTTGATTTTTGAAACTTTATTACAACTGAGTTAGTTTTTCCGCTGCTAAATTCTTAACTAGCCTTAACGTTTGAACACATGGTAGTAGCACGTCATTAATTATCTTGCACTTTATTAAAGGTATTTACACGCTTAAAGAGAGAATTATTGGGGTGTTACAATCATCTTCCTTAAACCTATTAAAAGCTTTTTCAAATTTCAATGTGGTTTCAAGCATGATAAATGTAGAGTTCCATTTAGTTGACACATCAAGACAAACCGAGCCTTTACAAGAAACTTTAACAAGCATAGAAGAGTGTGCAAACAATTTAGCTCTAGAAGGTGAACTCCTCACATATCTAATGGCACTACGAATACGAGCAATCAGAGTCTTAATCAACTCTAAATAAGCCATCTTTCACAATCTAATTAATTTAGAACATGACCAGCACATCTCATATGGAAAAATGACCCCTCTAGAACACGTTAATTATGAAAATTTGTTTTCAAATATCCAATTGCCACATCATTAGAACTTGCATTATCAACAGTTAAAGACATCAATCGATTCTCAAGTCCACATTTAAGAATGCA